GTGGGTACTGGGTAATGATGAATGTACTCTTCTGGGCATGGGGCAGAGGGCGTAACTCTGTGAGGGGAATTTACTAACACTGGAGGAGACCGCTGTGCATGGCAACCAATCAGCATCTAGCCTAAATTTGAAAGTTTAACTGAACAATCTGAAGATAGAAGTTGATTGGTTGCTATGCACAACTGCTTCAGATTTTGTCTGCTCTAGTTTTATGCCCCCAATGGATATTTAGCCTTCTTTTATTTTCCTTGTGTTTGTTTCTCCACTACAGTGTTTATTTCAGGGTTCACTGTAGTTCCATTAGGATCATTGTTCTTTTTACCTCTTGACAGTTGGTGTTATTTTGGTAAAAATTATACAGCTGACAGGGTTCTAAGTAAGAATCTTAAACAAGAATCTCCAAGGGGTACAGAATAAATCTACTGAAGGGTAAAATAGGATGATTTTTCTGTGTGCTGCTAAAATACATATGATTCAGACATGCCATACTGTGATGTTAAATGTATTGTGCACTTTCAAATGTTTTTGTTGTTTTAACTAGGTATTACTACCAGGGACGTATTTGCCGCAAGACAAACAATGCGTTTGCCTAGGGTGGCCGTGGTAGCGGCGCCTCCCCCCCCTTTCCCACGGAAGGGACACTTCCGTGTTAAAGGGACAGGGGCTGCTGTGTCTTACATGTCACTGTGACTCTGTGTCTTACTTCGATCCGGTCCAGGAGGCGCTGCTGGAGGAGGGGTCTGGTCCGGTGTCTTCGTGGATTGGATGTGGGTGGGATGACATGCCACCCTTCTCATCTGGCCACACCCCCAGGATTACTGGGCAGCCTATGACAGCCTGTCCCTCCCTCTCCAAGCTCAACCTCCTCGCCTTTGATTGGCCGCCGGATCTGTAGCTCAGGGAAAGCACACAGGCACCCAATCACCGTCAAGGAGGCAGAGCTTGGAGAGGAGGAGCTGTGTGACAGCGCAAAGATTGAAGAAGCTGATTGGAGTGAGGGACCAGCCGGAGCCGGTGAGAGGAGGAGAGCGGCCGGAGAAGGAAGACAGATTATCGGAAAGGTAAGTGTCTGTGCTGTCGGGATTTGGGCAGAGTAGATGATGTTGCTGCAGCCAGGTATGCTGGCTGTGGATGGGAGAGGGAGGGAGCCCAGGCTGGAGCAGGGGTCAACACAGCAATGTAAGCATCATTGGTGTCAGTGGGAGTAATAGTGCTCCATCATCAGTGTCAGTGTGGGAGGAATAGTGCCCCATCATTGGTGTCACTGACACCAATGATGGGGCACTATTCCTCCCACTGACACCAATGATGGGGCAATATTACTGTCACTGATACCAATGATGGGGCACTATTCCTCCTTCCACTGACACCGATGATGGGGCACTATTCCTCCCACTGACACCAGTAATGGGACACTATTCCTCCCACTGACACCAGTGATGGGGCACTATTCCTTCCACTTACACCAATGATGGGGCACTATTCCTCCCACTGACACCAGTGATGGGGCACTATTCCTCTCACTAACACCAGTTATGGGGCACTATTCCTTCCACTGATACCAATGATGAGGCACTATTCCTTCCACTGATGCCAGTGATGGGCACTATTCTTCCACTGACTCCAGTGATGGGGCACTATTCCTCCAAATGACACCGATAATGGAATAACATAATAGGTGGAGCTCTAAAAGGAAGAGGTGGAGCCTAAAAAGGAAGGGTGGAGTTTACCGATGAAGGGGTGGATCTTAAACAGGAAGGGGTGGGCCGAATTTAGGTAGGGAGGGGTGCCCGATTTTAGTCTTGCCTAGGGCAGCACAAAACCAAAATACACCACTGATTATTACAGCATACTCTCTATGCTGTTTGTTTACCCTACCTTGAAATGATGGGTTCACACATTGTGGCTGCAGTTTGTAGTGTCATGGCTGACACTATCTCCATGCTTTAATTCACCTACCTTGCCCCAATGCACAGCCATTTCTGTTGCATCACAAATGTTTTATGAAACAAACATGTCTTCCAGCATGGTACACTCTATTGCTCTCACCTGCACCAGCACTAGACTGGGAGATCCAGGGATTGTGGGATGTGTAGTTTCCTCAGAGGAATATGCAAATCTCAGACTACAGACAGAGGTCTTGCACTGAACTTTGCAGTGCCATGCTGCATGTCTCAAATTTCAATAAACAGAAACTTTTGACACAGGAGTGTGAAGATTCACTCTGCTAAAGACTGTGTACACTCCAACAAACAACACCATGAAACTACATGATCATTGCATAGCTTATGCTGGTGAAAACACAAGCAGCAGGTAAGAAGGTTTATAATGTGTTTAAGTGATATGAGAACAATATGAACATTCTTAGCCTTGCTGTTTCTCTAAAAGCTGAACCTATAGCAGTGGTCAAAAAAATCTTCCAAGTGTGAAGAAAACAGGATGATTTGAAGCTCCAGTCTAAAACTGCTAAAGAAACCACATTCTGTCTTTCATTTCTTTATTGTTTGCATTATGCGGAGACCTATCTTAATACAATTATACTAGATACTTTTTATGAATACAAACACATAACATTTGAGCTTATTCAAATTCTTCCTTTGGATAATAATTCACATTTATATCTCCACAGAGGCAGTTGTTGGGAGTGGTAAAAGTGAGAAGTCCCCGCACGAACAAGAAATTAAGTTTTTTGCCAAAGTAAGCTAAGTGTGTTAATTTGTTTATATTCTTTAGTACACTTTGGGCATTGCAATGTTTTTGATTGATGAACATGTAGTATATTGTGACATTAGGTGTGTTATTTTTGTTTAATTCATACAAAAAATACTTAGCAGGGAGCTGCCCACGATTGGACCACAAAGGGCGGTGAACAGCAGTGTCTTCTGTGGAGTCACATAGCAAGTGATCATCTTCTCACGGTGGCTTCTTGGTTGCAGGCAGATGAGGGTCACTAGATCCCTCCATACCTCCTTCTCCTGGGCCCAGGACCGTTTCTTCAGACATGCCAGAATAGTCTGCTGAGCTTGTAGGGGTCATCTGATCAACCATAGTTGCTGCACTGAAGCTCTCTGTTGTCTGCAGGGATCGGAGACTCAAGCAAGAGAGGAGTCAGGAGCCCTTCAGTGAGGGCCTCCTGTATAAGTGGAACATCCACCGGGTGTTCTCCTGCTGGTCTGATGCAGCAGTCATCACTTAACACACAAGGTCTCTGTAAATTGTCATGGAGCTGTCTCTTTATAGGATTTGGCTCCTCTGAGACCATGTCGTACACTGGTATCTGTGGAAAGGGCTGTTTTTCAACCTGATAAGTAATACACTTCCATTTGGGCTCCAACTCACTGAGTTGGGGGAGCATAATTTTTCCAGTTAAGAATCGTCTTCCTGCCTTAAAAAAGAATGAGTCTAAACAAAAAGTGAGTATAGGTACAATGGCTTTTAGAATGCACAAGAGACAAACTTTACGTGCCTTCAGGGCTTGAAAACTCAAGTGCGTTTTCCTTTCAATTAATTTTTATTGAAACGTTTTAAGAAATACAGCTTATGACCGCTCTCAAGTGAGTTGTCAATGCATTAAACAAAGTGTTCCAGGAAATAATGATTTGTGGAAAAATCCAGAACATGTGTTGCAAATCTTCAGCTGTAACACCTCACCCGGGCCATTGGGCATGAGTCCCAAGACCCATACAGAATAGCTTAGCTGGAGTATAAAGCAGGCGGTGAATAAATTGGTGCAAATGGGCCCATCCATGCACAAACTGGATTACGTCGTGAGAATGAGTGGGGGTTCTCCTCACTTGGAGCTGCTGTCACTTTTGAAATCTGACAGAGCCCCACACAGCTGGGTTATTCATTCACAGAGATCTGTAAATGAATTTACAAGTCCCATCTGCAGTTGCCTTGTATTGCTCTTGAGAACCACTAATTGCAGGTGCAATGCTTTTCAGGTTCCTGTGGGAAAAAAATTAAAAATGCAAATTTTTTCCTGCCAAAATATGTGCAATTTGTTTTTTTAAGATGGATGTCTAATCCATTCTGTATAAGGTCCGGTATATATTGGAGCCATTTCTGGTGGGAGTTCTGAAATTGATTAGATAGTTTAACTTGCAAACATTTATAGAAAGCTGTGGTAAGTTTGGTGCGACCAGAGTTGTGAAATGAAGTGTTCAAGTGGACAGCTCCACTTTCATTGTGGGTATTTGAAGAAAATTTGTAGTGATTTTTTTTCCCTTGAATGCTTCAAAGGATATAAAGATTTGTACAAGAGCTGAGAAATATATACAATACTCTTATTGGACCTGCAGGTGGCATCATGGTGAGCATATAGTTCCTTGAATCTGTAGTTAAACTATAGGAGAGTCTGAGGTGTTATGTGCAACTGGTTTCATAAGAGGATATTAGCCAGACTAATAAACAAACATCCACAGGGTAATGCTTATTACAGTGAATTACAGTACAGCAATGGATATTATCTTTGAGGATCTCTGAGGACCTGGGTAGTGTCCCAGACATAAGAGAGGGATTGGGGGTGTGGGGGGCTAGTGCAATCTGTCATAGATATACTGAAGGTGAGCTGGGAGGCTATAAAGTAGGCAAATAAGTTAGAATAAGCAAGTCCACCCTCTGTTGTCTTGAAGTTTAGTGGCCTTTTAAAAAATGTAAAATCCAAAAGCTACAGTACATCAATATAGTGCCGTGCATTATGAACAGTCAAGTTGCTTTTGCATCCTGCTGTAATCATAAATATCTGGTAACAAGATCATATTTACAGCTTTTAAAGCTTTTGAAGGAAATACACTAAACTTTATAGTTACTTACTCTTATTAACAGTGTCCTTTGGTGCAGTTTTGTTTTATCTTTTACAGTTGTTTATGAAAATTTAAAGTGTGCACACATGCTGAAAATTCTTTTGTAGGTTCTTTTGCCACTCGTTGACCAGTACTTTAAGAACCACTGCCTGTACTTCCTCTCTTCTCCAATTAAAACTCTCAGTAGTAGTGGCTATGCATCCAACAAAGAGAAAGAAATGGTGGCAAGGTAAATGCCTTTTTGTGACTTTCATTAACATTAGTGATGTTCTTGTGTGTTTCAATAAAATATCCATATGGCGTTACATATTATCCGTATAGTATATTGCTAATTTGAAGAACCTTACAACACTATGGAAAATAACCTGTAAATGTCATATTTGGCCTTTCTGGCACAACTCATAATGTAATGTCCTGTTGTGTGTGTAGCTTTTTGTTGCTAGTCAGTGTTAAACAGTGAGGAAACCCTATGGTTTATTCAGGCACCCATTAGCCAAAATGTTTTCTTTTTTATTACTGTGTATATTGCAGTGGTGCCTGTGAAAGGATTTGGGCTCTCCTGTTTTCAAAGATAAGATAATGTTGTGTCCTAATCTGACTGATTGCATAATACAGTTTTACATATGGTTCTTCCATGGGGAAGGAGGGCTTATCTGCAGGTAATTGGTCTCTGAATTGGCTGGAGATGACAATCCAATGAATCAAAATCTAGTTAGTTGTTGGACAGGCCAGATATGATGTAATGACTTCACTGTCCAAAAAAATCCAGAGAAAAAACATTTGATATCTAGGTAGAGATTACTTTCAGTTGATCAAACTCATTTTGTTTTGAATCTCGAGACTTCATACTGGACTGCTCTTCCACATTGGGACTCTTGTGTAGGTCATCTTGAGACACTTGAAAATAATGTTGTGGGGATTTCAGCACTAAATACAAAAAGAAAATAAATTAAACTATGTGTCTTGACAACTAAACTAAAGCCTTATACTGACACTAACATATAACCCAACCTGAAAAAAGAATTCATAACCAATTCCTAAAAATACTTTTTAACACCTAACCTTCCCCTGACATTTAACCTAACTCTGAAGCTCATTTCTTAAAGGAGAAGTACAGCCAATGCAGTTAGTTCTGCACTCCTGTGACCTGTTTTCAGGTGACAGCACGCTGAAGCTCTCTGTCAGCTGATGTCACTCAGCCGGTCCAGGCTGGGGAAAGATCTCGAAGTCGGGATCCACCCCAGAGTCCGGAGCAGCACCTGTCTCAGCCTCTCAGAGAGCAGCTCCCTCCACAGCCCAGCACTTCAGTGAATGCGGGGGGGGGGGGGGGGGACAGAGCAGACAGCAGTGACTGGCAGTCACCATTCTCTGCTCACAGTGGCGGTGAGAACACAGCGATCAGCATTATGTGATTGCTGAGTTCTCACACTTAGAACCGGCAGGACACAGATGCAGCATCGGACCAATGCTGCATCCACCTAGGTAAGTATAATTTGGGGGGTAAAAAAACCAAATTTCTCTCTTAATATGTGCCCAGGCTATACACACTAAAATATTTACATATTCTGAACAAGCAGTAAAAGCATTTTAAGGCTTCATGCACACTGAGTGTAAAAAGCACCACTTTTAAGGGTGGTTCACTTTCATTCTAGCCAATGGAACGAGTCAATGCCCAAATGCTTGACGTGCCTAAACACGCTTGGAAAGTGCGGCTTTTGGCACTTTTTTAGCTGCTTTTCTCCTGCCAGGAGAAAAGGTGTTCACAGGAGCTGGGCAAATGCCAAGTGTGCATGAGGCCTAAAACACACACTTGTTCACCTCTGTAGCTCTAGGCATTGTGGAGAAATGTACCTTTCAAGTTCACAACAAAGGCACTGAACCCTAGATCCTCTCCTATTACTTTATATTGCAATAGAATCTTGGCAGTCTGTCAGGCTTCTAATGTAAGTGTTTCACAGTAGGTGTTTCAAAGTTGTCAAACCCCACTAAAACCCGGCATTAGAGTCTTTGCTGTGTTCTTTGAGGATCCCTGAGAATTAAGTGATATTAAACCCAAAAATCAAACATTTATTTTATATTGCAGCTTACCAATTCTTAGATGTGGTGGCTGCATTGATTTTCTTTTTTAAGCTTTCTTTCCTTTATTTTCATCTGGTGATCTAGCCAGTAAATATGTTGTTTTTCAAAAGACCAAGTTGTCCTATAGTTGTAGCAGTTAGAGGGTTGAGACAAACCATTTAACATTGACGGGTGTTTACAGTGGTCAGCTTTTATTTATTTATGTAAAACCTTTATACCAAATGGAATAAAACTGTTGCTATAACTGCTTATAAAGTGTTAGCTGGAGTTTAGCTTCACTTTGTTAGTATAACCTAATCTGCTAGTGCATCTACCACTCTCCACCCCCCCAGACAGAGAATGCTGTTGTCCAGAGGCATCTATGTTACTCCTTAATCCAGAATGGAAGCACCTTAATACAAGAGTTGTGTTATGACCAGATCACCAGGTGATAACAGAGGCAAAGAAACCTAAAAAAGAAAATGTATGCAGTTACCACATCTGATTGGTAAGCTGTGCTGTATTGCCTTTTAGGTTTTAGGCTTAATACCACTTTTATTGCTTTTACATTACAAACAGCTAGAGAGGGCAGGGATGGCCTGTAAATAAACTATTTTACTGCTTGTTAAGATTATACAAATAATTTAATGCCCATAGTCTGGACACTTGAAGGTGGCCACATGCATATCAATACAATCAATTCAGTGACTAAAATGATCAAATTGAACAAAAACCACAAACCAAACATTTGGGAATTTTATGAACTTTGAATTGAGCTTTAAATTGATTTAGACTATACCAAGACAATCTGCTGTGATGCTATTTTGTCAAACTCTTCTGATCTGTTGAACAAATCACAATTCAGATCGAGTGATTGTTTTAAATGGATAATTTACATTTAACACTGATAGATCACAATTTTGATTGATATTTCAGTCAGCTGCAAAGTACTGAACATTACCATGTGTGTAACATCATTCGATATTTTCATAGATAATCACTTGTTTGCAATAGCAAACAATTCCAGGCATCAGTATATTATGCATAGTTACATTGTGACAGCTTGGACCAGTGTAACTATGTATGTACCATAACTGGCTGATGCCCCTGGAAGCTGAAGTAGATTGTCATACCTGTATGCCAAGACTGAGATGACAAAGGTGGCCTCTTGCATAGCCTCTCGCATAGCTCCCATCTGAGCACCCTTGAAAATCTGACATGGTGGCAACACTGTGGGCTTGAATTTGAGAGTGCTGGTATCAGTTGAGCATGGGTACAATTGGTAGTACACCATGGGTTTGCCATGTTCTGTTAACAGTGGAGTCAGGTCCTAAGCCTGGGACTAGTAACAGCTGAACGTAAGGCACCAAGTCATAGATACAATCAGAGTCAGAGACAGGCAAAAGTCAGCAACAAGCAGGCAGCGAGGTTCAAATTCGATGGGTAGAAGTGTGGTCAGTAGTCTAAGCTAAGGTTGGTAACAGAGATAGACAGCAAACATAAGCAAACAAGAGTAATCCAATAGCAAGTTAGGTGGAAGCTGGGTCAATATTGGGATTAGAATGAGTATCAGGATCAGAAACATAGGAGAAGACTGACGACCATTCAGCGAGGTGCTTGTGCAGGGTTCAGGTTTAAATAGTCTTTTTTGGTGGCAATGGACATGCATGCATATCCACTAATGGTCATACTGTATGTTTGTAATAAGATGCATGTGCAGTTGGGCTTCCTTACCTACAACACTACCTACATACTTATACACACTTCCACTAGCCTGACAGCTGGTACAATGTTCCTGACAGACAATGCTACTTCAGTGATGGCCACTTGCATCTAGGCCCCATATCGAGTGCATCTCTGCTTACTGAACAAAGGAGCTTGAACATATGGCATGGGCACCATTTAACGAATGCTACGTAGGAAAGCAACTGTGATCAGGGAGCAAATGGAGTTCACTGAAATAGCGGTGTCTACTTCAGTGATTTCCAGCTTCCAGGAGCATTTGTCAGGTATGGTATATACATAGCTTCCAAGGTGGACCAGTGTAACTATAGATAACATACAAATGTATGAAAATATATTTAACCATTTGCCGCCCGGCCTATAGCCATTTGGCGGCTGCAAAAATGCATTACCTTTCCGGGGTGTCGCACATGCGCAGTTTGCGCGGCTGCAGAGCCGCGCAGCGGCGCGATCTGTCACCGGCCGTATACCTCGGACACGGCCAATGACAGATCTGAGTACCAGCCCCTGTTGCCGGTACCATGTGACCTGCTGTGACCAATTACAGCAGGTCACATGACAGTTGTATACAATAAATGGCTTCATTCATGCCATCCATTGTATACTAGTGTCTAGCTGTGAATGGTCACAGCTAATCACATGCACATGTCATGTGATTAGCTGTGGCCAAATCACAGCTAAGCACGAGAAAAAAAAAAAAAAAAAGAAACCTGAATGGATCGATTTCATTCAGGTAAATGCTTGCTTATAGCAAAGTAATTCTTTGCTATAAGCAAATTGTGTAAAAAAAAAAAAATACTGATCACTTCCCCAAAGTAGTACAATGTTACTTGGTAACATTGTACTACTTTGGTCATAGTAAAATATGAAAAAAAATCTTAAAAAAAAAAAAAATGTAATAAAAATAATAAAAAAAAATATATATATATTTTTTTTTTTTTCATACTGTCACCAGTCAGTGTCCCTGTTCACCGCCATGCCAGTTATATGATGATGCTGTCCTGCACTAGTGACAGTATGTAAAAAAAAAAATAGTTTTTTCATTTTTTTCATTTTCCGAAAAATTATGACAAAAAAAATACAACTTCAAAAAACTCGCCATTCCTCTTATGAAGTACGTAGGACTGTCAACTTTACAAAAAGGGGTCATTTGGGGATATCTGTACTGTTCTGACATTCTTGGACCTCAAGAAATTAGATTGGCTGTCAGTACTTCAGGATTGATCAATATTCAGATCTATACCATAGTTTGTGAACTCTATAACTTTCCTACAAACTAAAAATAATACATCCTAATTTGGGTTATTTTCACCAAAGACATGGAGCAGAATACATCTCGGCCTAAATTTATGAAGAACAATTATTTATTTGTAAACTTTTATAACAGAAACAAAGAAAAGTGTTTTATTTTTCAAAATTTTTGGTCTTTTTTTGTTAATTTAGCAAAAAATAAAAACCCCAGCGGTGATTAAATACTAGCAAAAGAAAGCTCTAGTTGTGTGAAGAAAATGATAACATTTTAGTTTGGGTACAATGGTGTATGACCGCGCAATTGTCATTCAAAGTGTGTGAGCGCTGAAACCTGAAAAATGGCCTGGGCAGGAAGGTGTAAAATTGCCCGGTATTGAATTGGTTAAACTTAATCTAACACTTAGGTCTCTAAAACATAAGTATTATGGATAATTAATAAATACAATCCTAATCTTAATCTTAAATGCTAGACTTACCTTCTCAGTTAGGTATAAGGTAATATACTGAAAACAATGGCTTTTCCAGTGCTAACGCCACCTGCTCGTCTAAAAGTGACTTTTCTAGGACATGCTAGAAAATTGTCCATGAACATCGTGAATAGTAAAACTATATACGTATTACAAACATTGTAAGCTAAGAGTTTTCATGAAATCCATCAATATGTATGTAGAAATTATTAGCAGACATTGTCAACTGCATAACAATCTCTACTAAATAAGAAATATATATATATTGCTATGCTGTGTGTAGGTGAAAGTAGGACTTTTGTAATCTCTGTGTCTATTCAATATCTTTAAATCTATTTTCCTAATGCAATACCATTTTCTCTCATTTCCTCTGTACTTTTCTCTGTCACTTCAGTCTGTTCTGCAAACTGGCAGCTCTTGTCAGACATAGGATATCATTGTTTGGTAAGTCGTTTGCAGTTAGGACAGGAAAGGAACTGCAAGTAGGTTTCTCTCTTCTAAACAATGCATGAAAATAGCACTTAACCTGTTTTTATGTGTGATGTGTGGGATGACACCTTAAGTAAAATCTTGTGTTACAAGGCACATGTTTTTTCATTTTAAAATATATTATATAATAGCTCTTCAGACCATTTTAAAGGTACACTCCAGTCAAATGTGGAAATTGTACATTTAAGCTGACTAATTTCATATTTACATCCTGGCGTTCATCTAGTGCTCTTGACTGTTTTACAAGATACAATTTTATATTTGCTGCAATCTAATTGTCTTAAGCTTTCAAAAATAAGATAAATGGAAGGTTTCATAGCAACAAAATTATGTCACAAAAGACTAGAATGTTTTTTCATTTCAAATTACTGTAAATTGAGTAGACTAGTTTTTGCACAATTGCATATCATTACCAGTTATATTCAATCAGCTTCACTTCTTGCCTGGAGTTGCTCTTTAAGATGATCCAGTATTAGTAATACAACAATGGGTATGTATTTATAAGTATACCAGAAGATATATGGATAACAGAATAAAGGTCATAACCTGCCCATACCTGTGATTAGGGTCAAGTAATAGATACGATGGATGGTGGAAAAAGAGATATATTGTGCCTGTCCTTTAAAGTGAACCTGTGCTCAGGTCATGCACACCTGAGTATTTACATATTCAAGCAATAAAAACACTTAAACACATAAAATAAGCCCTCGATAATATATGTAGCCTATAGGAGAAATTAGTATTTAAGGTTTCTAACACATGCATTGGACTGTTTTTCTTTTTCTGTGGAGAGCAGATCTTTACAGGCTGCCATCTTTCTAATGTAAACAACAACAGGTGTTAAGCTGTTAAAAACTTAATGAAACCCAACTTTAGGGCCCATTCACATCCTTGCACTGCAGTAAGATTGCAATGTGTTACATGTGTAGGTATGATACGATAATATTTATTCTGGATGACATCCTTACGAAGCTTCTCAACTCACTTGCATTATGGCACAGCAAAACTCTCATCAGTGTACTGTACAAGCACAAGCAGTGTGCTGCAGAAAATGCTCCATGCAACTTTTTGAGTACAGCAGCTAATTTGAATGGATGAAATGCCTTAATACAATGCAAATTATCATGCAACATAATGCAGATGTGTGAATATTTTAACACTTAAAGTGGAACTAAACAGTATTTGAGCACCACAAACTGAATATGATATGTAATTAATTTTGAATAGTCAAAGCAAACTCACCCATCCATGTCTCCATGCTTTATCTTCTTAGGAAATCACTTTGAAATCCCCCACCTTAGCATTTCTAGCCACGGTCATCTTAAGTAAGGGCAGAAGATTCATGTAGTATTTACTTCTTGGAATCTATGTGCCCTTAGCTCTGGCATGCAGGCAGGTAGGTCTGCTTAGCTGACAAAGCCTTTCCTCCAGAAGAAAGAAAAAATAATTGTCCATGAAGACTTAAATATATGACATCACTTTGGCCTATGCCAAACGTTAATGTTGATTGAGAGAGCTTATTTCAGCTTTAAGAATGTCTAATAAATGTAACCTGCAAAAGTTGTTTTTTACCATTAGGCTGCATATATGCCTGGTTTTCAATCACAATTACAGTGATAGCCTCCGATTGGATACCACAGTGATCAGTTACTGTACAGCCCACCCCTCTGTTTTTTTTTCTCTTATTAAATGGAGTAAAAAATAAATTGTATTTTATTCTACTTGCTAGAGGAGAAAAATGTAAACAAAGTATGTGAAAAAAAACATAACAAATAAAGTTAATCTAGGTTAGTGTCAGGGTTAGGGTCAAAGGTCATGGTCTGAGCCAATTGTTGAGATAAAAGGGTTGGGCTGGTGCATTTTAGGTAGGATTAAAAAAAAGCATTTTTAAATTTAGTAGTGTCAGTGTGTTTTAGGTAGGATAAAGAAAGCAAAGTGAGCACTATTGTTTCTGGGCCTTACTATGGGTACAAACAACAAATAACATACAGATATGTGGTATTGCTGCGATTGTCAGGAACAGGAGAAGTGATTCTTGTTTGTTCTTTGGCAGTTGGTTATGGCAATAGCACGAAATATACCACTAACTTTTAAACAGTTAAAAAAATTTTCTTACTATTTTGTGCCAGATTTCCTTTGATAATAATAAAAAAATCAGGAAATATCCATTACCACTTACTACCAAATAAAAGACCAATTTGTCCTGAAAAAAAGTATAATTCACTTGGATACACTAAATGGGTTGTGATGATATGTCCAGTTTTTCTAACACATGTCAGAGTTGCAAAACTATGTTTCAGCATTAAAATTTGTTTTACCCTATGCCATGAAGGAGTTTATTTCCATAGTCTGAGCACAAATGCACGTTAAATATATTCTTCTGTTTGCATTGTATATAGTTGGGCAGTCCATTTTTCAATAGTGATTAAAAGATCTTTGGCATATATCTGTCCATCCTCTGATCTCCAGTTTTGCCAGGAAGGAAAGATGTGAAAAAGAAAAGCTTCTGCACATTTACTTACAGGCAGTTTGTTTCTTTACTACAATATTTGTAGAATGCTTATCTTGCTTTTGCCAGTGTCACCTAGAAAGTCACAGGTTGTTCAAGCTGGATATAGAGTATAATATTCAACAGCTGTGCATGTGTGTTTAAAAACTATTACACCAGAGTCTATAGAACAAAATCTGAAAACTAAAATGTTTCTTTTCTGCAATCCCAATTCCAGGTATTTTTTGAGCAACAAGGTGATGTGTTTGAACTTCTGCTGGGTTTATATTGTCTGTACCCCTATTGGGGAAGCTTTCCCCACATTCTGTCATTATGAAGTGATGGGATGGCTCACCAAAAAGAAAGGAGACAGCAGCAAGCACACACTTTTAGTAGAGTGGTTAAAGTGACATTAAAACCTCCCTCTTTAAATCCAGTTCAAAAGCTGATTACAGGACTGTTTTGGCGGTTTTGCTACCGCATTTATTCACTTGGTTCGATCTAAGATTATAAATGAAATAAGTGATTACAACCTTTTGTCTGTACATGCATTTAGCCAATCCTGATGTGGCTATTACCAATAATGTTAATAGCAAAGGAAAACAACTGTGCAATAAATACAGATCCAATTTATTTACACAGCAAAGAAGCTGACTACTAATCAATTATGACAAAATAAATAGTAGCCGGTATAACTTTAAAAGTAGTAATATTACAATGCAAATACAGAATTTTACCAATACAAAGAAAGACTACAGTAAAGAAATACAGAAAGGAAACATAGAATAATACGTTACGCAGACATCATGATGACTGGTCTTCCAAAGAGGCAACGGGACAAAGAGACAGAATGCCATACCTTTATACCCCCTTCCCCTACATTCCAAGTAAAGACTCACCCTTCAATAGGTTCCAATATTTTGTAATTTCTGTTCAAAGTGGGGCTCTGTGACTTGTGAGAGATATTTGCCAACTGTATAGGCAAATGTCCAGGAAGCATACTTACTTTGGAACCAGTTCCCACAGGAGGACTTATGACAATACTTCCTAGGAGGTGTTAGAAATGACGACACCAGAGCTTATTCAGCCTGATGGCCCTACAGTCATAAACCTCTACAGGAAACCTTCTTAGGGGGGCGTTGAGGTGATGCAACAAATGGTAAATAAGTTACAGGACTTGAGACCCTTAACAGAAGTTCACAATAATGTTAACAATTATTGTAGGCCTAAAATATCTATCACAAGGACTTACTTGGTATTTTGTATCTTCTTATGTGAAACATTGCCTTTTTTCCAGCTCAGTCTGTCCCCTTGTGAGCTAGGTGCAGCGTTGTGTGGTAAGCAGTGAACACAAGGGGTTTATTTACCAAAGATGGAGAGTGCAAAATCAGGCTCACTTCTGCATAGAAACCAATTAGCTTCTAGCATCAATTTTGTTCAGTTAAGCTTTGGCAATAAAACATGGAAGCTGATTGATTTCTATGCAGAAGTGAGTCTGATTTTGCACTCTCCAGCTTTAGTAAATAAATCCCAGAGAGTCCAAGTTGGCAATAACAGTATATTGTAGAAACATTCAGCAAGACAAACAGGCCTGGCGAGCAGCACATCTGTCCGGAGCCACTTACAACTGTGATAGTGATGGAACAGCGGGTTGAAGAAAAGCAGAATGCAGCCTGGCCGGTCCACACCCAAAGGGGAAGGTTTCCTGAAAGGGGTAGACGTAGTCCCTTCACTGTTCCTACTTCTTCAGAATCTTTCCCTGTTTTTAAGTACTGTCCCTGACAGGAACCTCTTTGTATGCTAGCCACTGGTATAAAGCGTGCCATTCCCAGGAGCCGGAGTCATAAATAGACTGTCTGACCCAAGATAGCCAACAAAGTCACATGGGGCACCCCCATCCAATCAGATAGTGGCCCCCTTGTGACATAGGAAATCATAGACAAACCAAGTTCCACTCAACCACCTTCCCCAGCTGCATTGATGCTGTGGTTGATCGCCACCTGCAGTTTAGACTACAGACTACACTCTGATAATTACCTCTCTTTTATGCTTTTGAGATGGCTCCTTTCTCTCACAGTAGTCTATGAAGCCACCCTTGTGTGTGCATTACTGGCTTGCTTTGTGCTATTAGACTGTGGGAGCGCTCCTCCCTGTGACTGGTGACGAGCAGCTGGAACCTGCACTGTAAGAACACAGGGCATATGCTCCACTACCTGGAAGTTGGGGAAGGGCAAAGTCTATAAGTGTTTGGAACACATATAATGCTGAAAATGTACTGTGTCATCTTTTACTGCTTGTTTAGAATGCATTTATTTAAAAACAGCTGAATATGTAATAGTACTTTAAGTATAGAAGCTCAGTGCCTTCTTGTTTCTCTGTTTTTCTTGTATTGGTGTGACAGGCATAAAAATCTCCCCACTGGAGTAACAGGCAGTAAACAAATCCTGACATTCTAATTCTAATCATGTTCCGTTCTACTAAGAAAAAAAATATTGGCTGTAGTTTGGCTGTAAAATGGATCTGTAGTCTAAACTGAGAGCACATTTATATAAATGTTCACACTCCACTGAATAACTAAGGCCCCATGCTCACTAGCTTAAAAATGATCCCCTAGCAGCTACTTATGAGTGTTTTTTTTCTGCCCCTAGAAGCCAATAGTGTTATCCTGTCTACATGCACACTATAGTAGTCTTAAAGTGTTTTTGAAGCTTCAGCTTCTAGGAGCAATAAAACAAACTTTTTTTTTGCATTTTTGGGAACTATTTGCAGGCAGAAAAAAAGCTGAATGCTCCTAAACACTGCTAAACGGTGGTAACCACTGCTGTTAAAAGCTGGTTTCCAAGGTCTTTTTTTTCTTAGCCAGTTTTTCTTTTCGGCTGCCGGTGCCTTTAACAACCAGTGAATATCTGGATGTCAAGGAGCGGGCCAGGAAGCTGGCCACTGCATCCTTAACAATGGATGACTCATCAGCTGTCGGTGAGGTTTCCCATTGACAGCTGAATGTGAACAACAAAATTGCTGGCAATGAAGATTGAAAAACAAAAACACATGGGGGCCCCCCAATCCATATAAGGCCCTTATCCGAATGGGGGGGGAGAACGAGTGCCCCCCCTTCTGAACCATACCAGGCCACATGCCCTCAACATGGGGGGGTGCTTTAGGGTAGGGGAGCTTGCCCCCAAAGCACCTTGTTGGAACTAAATCCAGTGCCAATCACAATAAACACTTGACGTAGCACCAAATAAACGAAGCGACGCAGCCAGCTAATGATGTCAACAGGTGGCCCCCACCCCTTAATCTATTTAACAGCAGGAGGTGGCAGAGCTGTCAGACAGCGGGAGCCAACGGTGGGTGCATAAATTTATTTTGCTGTTTAAACATCAGATATTCCTGTCAAAAAAATGTGAGAATGGACTGTACAACATTTGCTCATAATTGCGTGTATGTTATTTTTAAATCAAGGCAAGGTGGTGTATGCACGAAAAAAAAAGGTTTGCACCAGTTGTCTGACATTGCTAAATAAACTAAGGGGCACAGCCACCCTTAGTTGATTTAGCAGCCAGCGTTGGGTGCGGAAATTTTTTTTTCGTTTGTTTGATTCTGTGGTCTGTGTTCATTGTGATTGATGTTAGATCTACTTCGGGGGACATTTACTTTTTGTTTTTTTGGGGGGGTTTGAATAAAGAACTTGAATTTGTAAAAAACGTGCTCTGTTTTTACTCACTTTTAACACTTCTTTGAGTAGGGGTACAACGTACCCCATACTAATTCACATGGTGGGGAGCGGGATCTGGGGACGCTTCTAGATTCTGATCAGCCCCCTGCCGGAAGACCCCCACAACCCAAGGTGCTTTGGGCAGGAGCCCCCCCATTCCAAAGCACCCCCTCATGTTGAGGGCATGTGGCCTGGTATGGTTCAGGATGGGGGGGGGGCTTTCCTGGTCTGCAAAGCTGCATTCTTGGATAAGGGTGTGGTATGGAATTTGTGGGGGATCCCACCCCACAAAAAAAATGGTGTGGGATTCTCCTCAAAATCCATACCAGACCTAAGGGCCTGGTATGGTTTGGGGGGACCCCATGCCATTTTTTAAAATTATGGTGTGAGGTTCCCCTTAAAATCCATACCAGACCTAAAGGGCCTGGTATGGACTAGGGGGGACCCCAGGTTGTTTTTCAAAATTGAATTGCCGGAAATTATTTTGTTTACACTCAGCTGTCAGCGGGGAACCTCGCTGATTGTTGAGGACATGGCAGGCGGCTTGCTGGCCTGCTACTTAACAACCAACTAAACTGCAAAATGCTAGCACACAAAAAGGAAAGACACAGGAAAAAAAATCCTCATATTGAGAGTTTTTTCCATTGTTTTTCCAGTTTTTTTTCCATCTCCTAGTGTACATGGAGCCTAAAGATTGATTAAAACAAACTTACCTTTTTTCTTTAAGAGAAATGTAGGAATAGTTTGGTGTCTCCTAACTCCTACTAAGTAACTCTTTATGAGGTCTTTGCTGATGTGGAAGATTCTGGGGTCAGGCTCAACAGGGAAGCTGATTTGCTGTTTCATTTGCTGGTTCTGCCAAAACAATCACAACAGAGACCATGTGACCAATGCCTTGGTATTGATCATGGGAACAGACACCAATTACTGTTTCAGTTTTTTAAAGAACAGTATAGGATTCATGGATCTCTATTTAGTTTTAGTTACAGTGTGGAGGGTGAGTATTCACATAACATAATATTTACCTTAAGATCTACTTTTAGAGGAATCATATTTAGGGTACTTACACATGGTACTGATGTATGAACATCAGATATTCCTGGCAGAATAAAAACCTGAGGATGGACTGTACAACATTTACGTGTATGCTTTTTTTAAATCAAAGAAAGGTGGTGTATGCATACATTTTTGTGTGTACGCACATAAAAATACTGACCAGTAACACAGATTTTTGTATTTTTTAATGATCTATATGCAAAAAAAAGTTTACGCACCTGCGTGTACAGGGCCATTAAAAGCAATGAACTGCATTTAGATCAGTAAAGAAAAATTTCTAGGCATCCCGTGTGCAAGAGGTTTTAATGTCTGTTTAAGCAATAAACTGTCCTGTAGTAGCCTAATACTTGTAACTACAGTTATATGGCCATTGTGATTAAAGTTTTTGATTCCTACTCATATTGCATGTCACTTGTGTGCCACTGTCACATTCATCAAACACAAGAATTATACAGTAGCTCGTGCAAACATTGTTCATTAACATCATGTTCTAGCAGTAGTTGTGCACAATAAGATTTTTGCTCTTCTCTTTTTATTACAGGAAGTGATTCTGCCACCATGGTGAGCTGTTTACACATTCTGGCCCAGACTCTCGACACGCGGTACTTTTTATGTGGTTTTAATATTAGTGTTGCAGTATCTTCCTTTATTATTTGAGATAATTAACTAAAATTGTTAATACATTTATTGTGTTGGGAAATAAATATTCATCTTAATGTTATTGTTAAAAACTAGTAAAATAGAAATCCATTGTTTTAAAATCTAGTTCTTAATCTCTTAACTGTGTTAAACAGGTTTATGCCAAACTCTGGTTGCAGTCAATTGCCTTTTGACCAAAAGAAACAGTCTTGTTAATCATATAGAAAGCATCATCTGCTCATCTCATTCTATGCTTTCAATTACTGTGCGAGGAAAGCTGTAGCTAAACTTGTCTGTCTTTTCCTGTCATTTTAGCACTGTAATGAAGTCTGGATCTGAGCTGGTGAAAGCTGGAGTTCGTGCTTTCTTTGAAAATGCTGCAGAAGATTTAGAAAAGACATTAGAAAATCTTAAGCTGGGGAAATTTACTCACTCCAGGACTCAGATGAAGGGAGTCTCTCAGAACATTAACTACACCACAGTGGCCCTCCTTCCTATACTGACTTCCATTTTTGAACATGTGGCTCGTCATCAGTTTGGAGTTGATTTGCTGTGTAAGTTATTCATTTTTAAAGAGCTGGAATTCATTGACATTCCAGTGTAACACATTATACATATCTTGTTTCACATATAAAAATAAATCATAAGCGGTTTACAACCAGAGTCTGGTAATCCACAGTGTATTTGGCAACTGTTTTTGTAGATCCCAACAGTCAGTGGTGGTTCAGCATGAGGCTGGCGGTACAATGTCTGCATTATGACAGCAACAAAGATTATAAACAGACCTCAAAGCCCACACCATGTATAATTATATAACAAAAAAAAAAAAATTTCACCCCTACATCTATATGCAACCAACTGTTTAATGAACATTTTTATTAGTGGATTAGTTTTAAAGACATACAAAAAATGAAAAGAGGATGTATTTCCTCATGGGAGGGAATGGGTGGAACAGTAGAATGCCCTGGTTTTCCAGGAAATGAGTTGGAGCTGTGTTTGGCACTCCTCGCCCTTTTGGGCACCATTTGTTTTGCCTAGTCTGATGTTTAGAGATTTAGATATGTAGAACACAATTGTGGGTTGGCAGTCTCTGAGGAAGTTGGGATACCAATGAAACCAGTCAGACACTGTCAGACACTGTTTCTCTCCCATTGATCGTGTGGTGGTGCTTCCTACTGTATATTCCTCTTTAATGAATGGATTTTGTCTACACACAGACTATAAGTCTCTTTAATTTGAAGTCTTATGGGAGTGAGTGAACTTTTATGTTTTTTATGGTCATCTATTTAATAGCAATATGTGTGACATGTAGTTCATACACTTTAGCTGATACTGAGCGCTAGTGGTATAGAGCCAAATTAATAGTGACCACTACCAATAGCGCTCAGTATCAGCTACTGTTCTATTCACATATGTCTCCTATGGTTTATTGAGCAGCTGTGGTTATAGCCTTTACAAGCTACAAGACCTCATTTTTGGTTACCAGCGCCCAAGACGTTTGTCAATTTCTTTACGTCATACACATGTGGTTTTGGTGGTCTCTGTAGAAACCATGTGTATACATTCCTTTTCTATTAGAGATTACAGGTTACCTTGAGACCCTTTATTGGTTGGAGTATCAAGGGCTCCTGGATAATGTTTATATAATATTTACAGTTTGGCTGTGTCACCCCAGTGTGCTGGTTCCAGGTTATGGATGCAACTATTGTGTCTGGAAGATCATGTCAGCAAAAGGTCCTTTAATTGATCCTGTATATTGGCCATTGAGGATTACCTTAACTTTTCAGCAATATATGAAGCTGTTGTTGAGCCTTTCCTGAATTTCATCTGAAAGGTTTACAATTGCAGTGTCTCTATAGATGAAAAGGATGACCCATTACATCTATAATTTAATGCTTTACAGCTATTTTCATTCACTCCAAGACCAACAACATTCTTTACACAAGTATCCAAGAAACTTTTGCATCTTGAGAGAATATCACTACTGTTTCTATGTGATTAATACATCCTCTTTTAATTTTTTTGTGATTTATATGTTTAATATACTTTCTATGAGTCAGCAACCAGTATATATTTATGCTTTAGGATGTATTCATACATTTTCCAATTAGAAGGATCACTTGTGAGCCTTATGAGCTTGTTTTTAATAGGTATATCTATGTTTTTAATATGTGTTTTGTGTTTTTAAAGCTATTCTAAAATAAAATGTTTGTTAAGCAGTTGGTTGCATACAGATATGTATTTTTTTTTTATATTTGAACTTCTGTGGAAACCCAGAAAAATAGATATTTTACATCAGTGGTAACATCTGTATTATACATGGTCTATAAGTATGAAGCTCAGGAGAACCTAAGGAGGATCTTACACTAAAATTGCAAGGTCTGCTTATTCAGCGTGACCCCCATTTCAAAAACTGAACACAAAGAAGAAAAATTCTAATGGTTAGTAATTAAGTTACCTTAACCACACTTCAGCCTACGGCACATAGCCGGGAGTGGCAGAACCTTCTGGCAAGATCCCAAGGAATGTACCTGTTTATCCAAAGCCCTCTCCTCTCTACAGCTGTCTCGTCAGTCATGCAAGTGGGTCAGATGCTCATCAAGTTCTTAGTAGTTTAATTTGCATACAGAAGGATGAAGGAGGGAAGGGCAAGAAAGAGAGAGGGAAAAAAAAGAAAAATACAAGGTCAGAGAGAGAATTTCTAAGGGGGCCTTCCCTAATTCAGAGTGATGGAGTGTAAATGTGAAAAAGTTACTGAGTATTGTAGGTATTCAGTAGACATTAGAAATTGTTCCCAGTAAAACCATCTAGTCATATGTTCCACAGATTTATTCTGAAGGGCAAAAGTAAGCTGTTCAGTGCAGTGTATTTTGTTTTCTCTGGCAAACCATTGAGTAACTGTAAGAAAACTGTTGCTTCCACATGCTAGGGTCACAGGCTCTGGTAATGATTTCTGGTAATATTTTCTGGATAGAGGAATAAGATTTGAGAGGACTGCAGTCAGATCATCGAAAAAGGAGCTTTATTTTTTTGGATAAGCACATTTTTTTAAATTCAGAAGAATACTGTTGACCCTGATAGAACATTTCCCAGTTATTTTCTGTGAACTACTAAACCCTCCTCCCTATGTAATACATATGAGGGGAAGGGATGGTGTTTGTATTACAAATCAGGGGATCAGCCTAGGGTGACAACATGGCTCCTTATAGATACAGTACAGTGAGAGAGTCTTGTCTTTCTGGAACAGGAAATGTCTTACTGGCAGGATCACATGGTCAAAATAAAATAAATTGCTTTAGCCACCACATCTAAGGATTGGTAAACTACAATATATTACAATTTTGTTTTTGGATTTAGATACACTTTACACTTATACTAATACAAGTATAAGTAGAGAGTTACTTAAGGCAGTAACAACACAGATGTCCATTACAAATGCAGTAATTCTCCAAAAAAATAATTGACTGTATGTGATACAACAACAAAGCAGGTAGACTATACACTTTGCAAGTGCATTTTCCTCAGAGTTTATTGAACCTGGTGAAATGTCACTTTACAAAGAATACCCAGTAACATGCATATTATAAACAGTATTTTTTGCTTGCTCGTGACTAGATGATGGAAGTCAGCAGAGCCCCATCTCATTCACTAATTTCTGGGACCATTGCCTTCAATGTACAGCTTCCCTTACAAAGTGAACAGCCTTTTTACCTTTAGTTAATCAACCCCCTTGTATACATTGTTTGACATGATTTTCTATTATGTGTGACAAGCTAAAGTAGGTTTATATTTTACTCTATTTTTCTTTAGTGGACGATGTTCAAGTTTCCTGCTACCGCATCCTCTGCAGCCTTTACTCACTTGGAACAGGAAAGAACATTTATGTTGAAAGGTACTTGTATAGATTTCTTCCTTTTGCAAAATGTTTCTATAAACGATGTAACTGATGTTAAGCAACCTAAATAAGATCTGCCTAGATGAAAGCAAATTGACCAAATTCAGTTCTTGAAGATGGGAGGTGATATCTGGTTGATGATAGTCTAGGGCTTGAAGACAAACTAGGTAGTCCCCAGGACTAATTAGTATTTATTCCGGTAAATCCTGGTCTGTGACATTTAATACCTCCCAGGACATAGGAAACCTGAGATGACAGTCATTCCATCAAGCCACTTTCATCTGGATTGTGTGATGATCTCGTCTTTACGTGCCTTTGAACACCCCTGGCTGACAATTCTCATGAGAAATATTCATCAGTCAGATTCGAAAACCTTGGCCTTATGCACAGTGCACTGTCAAAATACCTGTTTCACAGGGGTTTGGCAGTTTTTTTTTTTCTGCCCCTAAACACCACTCTATGTTAGCCTATGTGTCCATGCACACATAGGTGTTTACAGGCATTTAGAAGGTGGGATGTTTAGGGGCAGAAATCCTAATGCATCAAAATTCCTATCAGGAGAAGAGCGTTTGGGCAGAAGAAATGCCCAACATGTGTAAACGTGCCTAAACACTAGGTGCATTTAGTGTTTGAGTGTCCATAATTCCAGTGGTCCGAATAAATTACTATTCTGGTCAATGAAATGAATGAACACCCAAACACTTGATGCAACTGAACACAGCAAAACATGGCTTTAGGCACATTTTTAACACTGCTATTCTTCTGTCTAAAGAAAAGCTTTCAGAAGAGCATAGTGTGCATGAGGCCTAAGCCAGATTGTTTTTGTTTCTCCTGAGCTGGATTGTGACTACAACTAATGAAGATCATAGCAAACTTTGATGGGGTCCCTAGAAAAATTCTGATGTCCCTTCACCCCCAGCCTCTGACTGTCAATGGTTGACAAGGCAGCTTTCACAGTATGTTTTGTTTAACCAGCAATAGAGGTAATGTACCTTGGAGACTTGAGGGGACACAGGTGAACTGGACTGGATTTTCACATTTTCTACCCCCCTTGGGCCAACTGTGTTTTGCCACTCTTACTCCAGTCAATGGATAGCCACATTTAAAAATATCAAACATTACAACCACTAATATAGTAACACAATATTCTCTATCCATGTCAACCTAGCCACCCTAGGCCTTGGCCTGTGTTGGTTATGCAGAAATTCAACCCTGCAAGTTGAGGGAGTATACCAATATCCTGATGTGGTTAGGCAGCTTTTAAAAGCTGCACTGGTGGGATGGGGTGTCCAAGGAAAAAGTTCAGGAAGAAAGGGGATTACCACAGGATTCCTTCTGCACCCACTCCCTATAGCTGTCTGGGCTTCTATGCCTCTTAGACTAGCTAGCACTAAAGATGACTGTGTGAAGCCCCCCTGCTCTCAATTGGAGTAAACATATGCATGTCAAGTCACCCTAAGAAGTTGACGGGCAGCTTTATTCTTAGACATACAGTACCAATGATCCTTGGATAGTTACATAGTTTAAAACAGGCATATGTATATTGAAGTGTTACTAAACCCACAACAGTAAAATAAGTCTGTATATGCAGTAAATCATGCTTGTTATGCACACTGTGGAACCTAAGGGATCAATCCTCTGCATTGTGTAAAAATGTTGTTTGATCCTTTCTTTTCTGATCCTTTCCTTCTTCCAGTGCCCCCCTCTTATCTCCTGATAAGACATATTGTGTGGAGACACTCTGCACATGCTCAGTTTGGTGTGTATTGCTCAGTTTCTCCTCCTACAAGTTTTAATATTTGCTCGGCTGGCCACTGATAGAAGTCACAAGACTGCTCTATCTGTAATGATTTATCAAGGTACTTCTTAAGAGCCACCTAACAGATGATCTCAGCTGAGACCTTGTATAGCTCTGTCCATTAAACTTTCTGATGATATGAACTCTGTAGTTGCTTCAATGTATGAGTGCTTCCAACATCTAATGCATGAGTTGGGCACGATTCATCTGAAAAGGTAGGAAGAACTATGTTTTAATTCAGGTACAAAGTTACCTTTGATAGAAAATGGAGTAGTGGTCTTATGACTAAAGAAACAATTGGCAATGAGGAATAGTAACTGCCAAGGCCTGGAGCTCTGAGATACATCTGGCAGACTTGATCACTGCAAGGAAGGCTGTTTTAAGAGTCAGGCTCCATAAAGAACAGTCTCAAGCTGGATAAAAGGTGCTGAAAATTAGACTAAAAGAACTAATAATAGGTCCCATTGCAGAAAGGTTGATTCCCTGGGAGGTTACATTTTCAAACACACCCTGATAAATTGGACTTCAGTGGGCATTTGTGGACCATCTAGTGCCAATTAGGGCAGATATGGCAGAGACGGGAACATTCAGCATGTTCAAACTGAGTCATTTTTCCAGACCTTCCTAAAAGAAGTCTAGAACATTATTCATCTAAGGTAGGGGAGGGTCAAATGACCTTAAAGAGGCTGATTACACAAAACATTCCCATGTCTTGTGGTAAGTTATGTTGAGTGTTTACTTGCCTTCATTAGGGTAGAGATCACAGCATTCGAGCAACCTAGGCTTGATAATATCTCCATCTCAACCTGTGTGGAATTAGTTTGAGTTCATCTGGAAACGAAAGTGGGAACAAACCCTGGTCAAGCCCCAGAATCTTCAGGGGAAGTTCTAGACTTAGGTAGAGATATGTGGAGAACCATGGCCTGCACTACCAGTACAGTGCTATAGCTATCACCACTCCCTGAAAACGAGCTGAGAAGGTCTGAGCATGGGATATTGTGTCTTTCCACAGGGCTCCTGGAAACCTGTGCTGGGCTAGAAAGAAGCTGCATAGGTTTAGGGAGATGATAAGAGATCTATTTCTAGTATTTCTCAGAACTCTGCAACCTTATTGAAGACTTCTGTATTCAGGGACCATTCCTCCCTGTCTGAGGGACAGGAATTGTTCTGCTTCATAGAATGCGCTTAAATTCCATAGGTTGGATTGAGCTCAGGCTGTGATTGGCTCCAGCTTTTGTAACATTGATTACCTGTACATTCTTCCCTCCTTGTGGCTATATGCCACAGCTGTTTTGTTGTCCATCCTTATCTGAACTGTTTAACTTGAAGGTGAATAAAATATTGAAGGACCATGAAGGCTGCTCTGATCTCCAGTACATTTCAGACAAAAATGGAGTCTTAGAACTTCCACTTCCTCTGAGCAGCAAGGTCTTTGTATCCCAGCCCTGATGGCCGGCACCGGAGGTAAGGATTGCAATGGTATCTGGAACAATGAAATTGTGTCTAAATAGATTCAAGCACAACCACCACCGTAGAAAATCCTTCATACCGTGGGAGAATAATATACGCTGTTGTAGATTTCATTTGTTTCATTCAGCCAGGAATCGTAGCTGAAATTCCTGCATTTCTCCAATGTGCCAACCTTACCATGGGTATTGTGAATGAAAGTGTGTCCTGGTACACATATTCAGTTTTTTGTTCAACCAAGCTGGCCAAACGAAAAAAAAAGAGAGAGATTACTGCACTAACACAAGCAATGTTAGTACAGTAATATCTCCCACTGTCCCTGAGAACACACTAATCTGTGATTGCATTGGCTGTGAGCATTGATCAGATGCTGGTTTTCCAGCTTGTCCCTTTGACAAAAGCTGGTCCTTAGACTAGCATCTGTCAGAAAGGCAGCTTTACACATGGCCCGATTGTCAGCTGTTTCCTGCTTTAGACACTTGGATGCATTTTTCCATTGTAAACGCATTGCTGACTAAACCTTGGTGTGTACATTAACCACATCCCCGCAACCCTATAGCAGATATACTGTTGCAGCGTGGCAGGGGTGCGCCAAATCACGTGATTTATATACGTGATTTTGCATTTCCAGGTTCGCCATTCACGGCCGCGGCTGTCAATCACCGGGTCCCGGCCAGTGATTACCCGCCTGCACCCGGTGATTACCGAGAATCTCCGACGGAGAGGAGGGCTGCTTTGTTTACTAACATTCCTCCTCCCTGTTGACTCGGGCACACTGCTCTGGATGGCTGTGCAGAGCACAGCCATCCACAGCAGTGTCCTTACAGTGAAGCACCAACGCACCGCCCCCCCCCCCCCCCCAATAAAACACTTTCAGCGCACAATTAACCCTTTGATCACCCCTCATCTTAACCGCTTCCTGCCCAGTGCTATTAGTACAGTGTCAGTGCTTTTTTTTAGCACTGCTCACTGTATTGGTGTCACTGGGGATATCAGTGACACCAAGTCAGTTCCCCCCAGTGTCAGAATGCCTGCCGCAGTCCCACTATAAGTCGCTGATCGCCTCCATTATTAGTAAAAAAAAAAAAATTCCAGTATCTATACCGCCATTTGTAAACGCTATAACTTTCATGTAAACCAATTAATTTACACGTATTGGGATTTTTTTTTAGCAAAGACATGTAGCAGAATACATTTTGGCCTAAATTTATGACAAAATTAGATTTTTAAAATTTTTTCACTGGACATGATTAACCTCCCTAGCGGTATGATTATTTCAGATTTTTGGTGCTGAAAGCGGTACCATTATTTTGCATGGAAATATGTAGTTTTTTTATTGTAGGCTGTAATTTTTAGGAATAACTCGCTGAAATCTGTCCGAACAAGAGTCTAGTAAACATTCCGGGTATGATAAAATTTGAAACACGAAATCATAAATTATAATTTAATAAATAATCATAAAAAATAATAATATAATAATAATACATTTAATTCAATAATATAATCAAACCAAAAACACTGAAATTTGAAATAGAGCTCCAAGTTCGCACATCACTGAGCAAAGTCGCAAAATCGTTTTCAGTGTCTGATGACGAATTTCCCACGAATCATCACTCAATTCTGCAAGTGGTTCTGATTTACTATTGCTGTTCTCTAGCTGATCTAAACCCGCTTTTGACCTAAAGGGACACTTTTTGGACACCATGGACTCAGTTTCCAGGCAGAAAGAACA